TGTGTGAAAAATACCAAGGGGAGTGGATAAGCTTAGGGTCCTTATCTGCAGAGACTTGGTAGCCTGTTTGGTGAGGATTAAAGACAAAAAAATAGTAAAACCATACTCACCAGCAACAGTTAAACCACTGGATGTTTACTTAAGTCTTTCTGACAGTAAGTCCTGGATATTTCAAGTTAGTTTCACTAGCTTTTGAAATGGAACCTGGAAAGCATAAAACTTACAGAATAAACCCTGTTGTGCTTCATTCAGATCACTGTCAAGGCCAGTTGAAGAGTGGTGGGAAATGGAAGGAGGGAAGGAAGAGGGAGAGAGCAGAGGGATCCATAGGTGACTGTGAGCTGGGATGACACCTGCCATTGTGACTGGTGGGATTCTGAGTCATTGCTTATTACTCATCTTGTAAATGTTGATTAGCTGGCAGGCTCACAGTTCCTATCGCCATCTCTCCGATTCTTAGGCCGTTTTCAGTAACATCAGAATAGCCTGGTGGCAGCTGCAGCAACTTAGATCCAGGATGCAGCATCTCCTTGAGACGTAATATCCGGCAGAAGTCAGAGCCCTTGAACTGGAAGTCTCTGCCTTGACCCGCATTACTCATTTTTGTTTTTCTTATTTTAACACATTTTTAAACTTAATTTTATTTTAATCTCACACACGTATATGGTTTAAAAGTAAACAGTACGCAAAGCTTATAATAAAAGAGAGCACCGTAGCACGACTCTGCACTCCCAGTTCCCCCTGCCCCAGGCATCTGCTTTCAGCTCTTTAAGCGATTTCCTCTGATATTTTACTCCACATTTCTAAACAACACCCTGTATTGCTGTTTCCTGATGTTTTTTTCTAGTTTTAATCTTCTGATGACTTTGTACTTCCAAAGATGAGAATTTAGCTTTTATACCACATTCTCTTCCTCCCCTTCTCAGTGTAGTTATAGTAAGATAGTCAGTGGTCATATTGTCATGGTTATGTAGATAGAGGTCAAATGAAGTCAGTGGTACAGTATAATTACATTTCCTTATAAAAATATTTTATTTTTTCTGGAATTAAAAAGTGGCTATCTCTTTGGCTTTTTTTTCACCGTCTCTATCACTAATCTTCAGTCTCAGCAATAAAATTCCTTTCAAACATGTCAGGAGACTGTCAATTCATTTTCTTCTCTGAGACTTACCTCTGGGCGCCTCTGCCCCTGCTTCCGTCTGGACTGGCTGTTCTTCAGGCCTGCTGCATAGCTCTTGTCCTGGACTCTCTTCACCATTGTCATGAGAATTTCTATCACGTCTCTTGTGTTGGATTCCAGGCCTAACTCGATTTATGCTATTGTTGTGAAACAGACTTCCTTCTAAGAAAGAGTGAAAGAGATATCTTTTGAGACATGGCACATCTGAAAATGTTTTCATTCTATTGTCACACTCGTTTGATACGTGGCTTTGTATAGACTTCACAATTAGAAATTATTGTCCTTCAGAACTTTAAAGACCTTGCTGTTGAATAGTCCAGTAGTGTGGCTGTTGAATATTTCAGTGCTGCTCTCTCTTGTTTTTCCCCTCCCATTCTCTTTGATCACAGTTGTTCCAGGAACTTTTACATGTTGTTTCATTTAATCCTCAAGAAGATTGAGCACCACCATCCCCAGGATTTCCCACATACCTTTATTTTCTTTATAGCATTTACTACTGTCTGAAATCGCTGAATTAGTTCCTAGCATATTGGTTGTCTTTTCTATTACAGTGTAAGCTCTGTGATCCAGGGACTTTGTACCACTAGTACCTAGAACAAGGCCTGGCATGGGGTAGACACTTGTAACTTGGCCAGCTCTACATAGCCAGTAACAGCAAAGTCAGGATTAGAACTTCTGAATTCTTTTTTTTTAATCCTTACCCGAGGACATTTTCATTGATTTAGAGAGAGAGAAAAATTGATCAGTTGCCTCCTGCATGCACCCTGACCAGGGATGGAACCCAGATATATGCCCTAACTGGAATTGAACACACGACCCTTCGGTGTACTGTTTGATGCTCCAACCAACTGATCCACACTGGCCAGGGTGAATCTCTGTATTATTTACTGCAAATCTTGAACCCTTTTCAGTGTAACTACTACTAATACATTGCTCTTATAATTTGGTAGTCTTCAATTCAAATTAAATATAATAGTTCAAATATAATAATCATCCCTTATAAATAGGGCTTAGGTTGGTTTGTTGATTGATTGTGATTCTGGATGGTTGCTTGGGCATTGGATTAGAACAAATCATTGGTAGTTGACGTAATGCTAAAGCAGCGTTGGTAATAGACTGTTTCTTATCAGTGTTATAATCACTTAAAAAATAAGATGACAGCCCGATTGGCGTGGCTCAGGAGTTGAGCATCAACCTAGGATCCAGGAGATTGAGGTTTGATTCCTGGTCAGGGCACATGCCCGGGTTGCAGGCTCGATCCCCAGCAGGGAGCGTGCAGGTGGCAGCCCATCAATGACTCTTTCATCATTGATGTTTCTCTCTCTCTCCCCCTCTCCCTTCCTCTCTCTGAAATCAATAAAGATATATTAAAAAAAAAAAAAATGACAGAGGCGAGATTATTTTTTATATTCTTCTGAACATTATGAAAGGAACTCATGGAGTTTCTTGGTACATTAGATGTGGAGCAGGATGTTCTGTGATGGCATCAGCCATTGCATGAAAGCATTCCCTGTGATTCCAGGTCCTGAGCCTGTTTAAGCCCCAGACAATGCAGGGGGACATCTGCTGCCCAGGCACTTACACAGCATTGTAAGGGTTGGGGATGTGGGGTATGGAGGGACTCTGAAGACTGAGGCTTAGTAAAATACCTTCTGATTTAGAGACAGCATTTTTTCAAAAGCTTTTATAAAGAAGTCTTGTGTTTCAGGTCTGCTTTTTAATAAAAAATTTTTCTATTTCTTATTTGGTTTTTATTTATCACCTACCTCCTAGTCCCCAGTGCTTGTGTAATGCTTAGCACACGGTTGCTTTTCAATAAATTTATTGACTTACTCTTAGGATGCAACTTACACTTACATAAAACATTCTGCAGATATGGACTGATATGTTTGATTTTTAAAAAATGACTTATTGCCCGGCTGGCATGGCTCAGTGGTTGAGCATCCACCTAGGATCTAGGAGATCATGGTTCGATTCCTGGTCGGGGCACATGCCCGGGTTATAGGCTCTATCCCTAGTGGGGGGCATGCAGTAGGCAGCCGATCAATGACTCATCATTGATGTTTCTCTCTCTCTTTCGCTCCCTCCCTCGCTCTGAAATCAATAAAGATATATTTGAAAAAAAATAAAAGTGACTTAGTAATACTAGAGGTAATTACCCTATGAGTAGATTGTCTGAAGTTTATTATATTATTTTTATTTTGTTTCAGGCTCTCTTTTTCTTTTTTATAGCTTTATTGAAGTATAGTTGATATACAATAAACTGCACATATTTAAAGTGTACAGTTTGATACATTTTGACATCTTTCTACACCCATGAAACCATCGCCAGTATCAACATACTGAACACGTTAGTCACTGGAAAAGTTCCCTTATGCCTGTTGTAATCCCTGTCTTTTCTCCTCTCTGTCCAAGTTAAACAACTTCCATATCATCCAGCCATTCTGCTTCTAGTCTGTCACCCAAGAGAAAAGATTGCATATGTCTGCCTCAGACTTCTACAGGAATTTTCCTAGAACCTTTATTCATACTGTCCAAACTGGAAACCCAAATGTCCAACATATGAATGTGTAAACAAACTTTGATATATCTATACAGGATACTATTCTGCAATGAAAAGGAATGAACTGTTACATTTAGTTTGATCTGGACACTGAGATTTGAAGCAGATTTCTCGCCTTTGTTGCATTTGCTTGATTTGTATTAAAATTTATTTTCATTCCCTTAGCACATCCCCCCAAGTGGGGGAAACTAGCCTAATATTAAGAAGTTAGTTATAGCCCTAGCCTGTTTGGCTCAGTGGTTAGAGTGTCGGCCTGCGGACTGAAGGGTCTCAGGTTCAGTTCCCACCAAGGGCACGTACCTTGGTTGCAGGCTCAATCCCTGGCCCTGGTCGGGGCCCGAGCAGGAGGTAGCCAGTCGATGCGTCACTCTCACATCGATGTTTCTCCCCCCCCCTTCCTTCTGATCTTGCTGAAAAGCAATGGAAAATATCCTCAGGTGAGGATTTTTTAAAAAGTTAGTTATAGATGAACCATAAAAGGATGTGGATGTGAGTTGTATTTGGATAATAAGGGTTGACTAGTCCTCTGAGAAAGTCAGAAATGGTCAGTCCAGTGTCCTGCTACAGGACTCGTTTCTGTAACACCAGGTAGCTTATGGGGTTGGTAAATAAATGATGTCAGTTACGGTTATGTGGGTTTGCATAAGATTTTAATGGACAAGGGGAGTGGAATTGAGGGGTTAGAATTTAAAAGGAAAGGAAAACCCCCTCAGGTTGGCTGCTGCACAGACAAATTTTTTCAAGTGTGGTTTAAGAACAGTAAAGATTAGTTCCTGGGGTGTGTGTGGGGGGCGAGGGGGAACTAGTTTCCTCGCCGTGGCCTGAGTTTGCTCCCGGAGGGTAGTACCTCCTCCTGTGCCCACCTCCGTCTGTGTTGCTTTAGCGCCTGCACATTTGCATTTCACTTTATTTGTTTCTGTTCATTGTTAATATTTCCTGAGACAGTCCTGATGGTGCTTGTGTCCTTGCGTCGCTCTCCCGAGTTATCCAAGTTATCGCCTGAGGAACCAGCTGTTAATTTTGTTGGACTCTGATTGCAAAGTTGTGTGCATTTTGAGTTGTCTGTCCCAACCCTAATTTTACCCCCTTTATTTTTTATTTTACCAAATGAGGGTTGTTTTTTCCCCTCATTCTTTTAAGTGTGGCATCCTAACCAAAAAACACCAGAATGTTATTTTATTAAATGATTTCCTGGAAATGTCTTATTAAAAATGTTTCTAAGTATTGTTAGCTGATACTTAGATCTTGCTCACAGTGTCTCTGATGTTCCAGGTGCTTATCAAAGATTAGCTCATTTTATGCTCACAGCAGTACTACTTGATGAGTCTGGTATTGCCCTTATTTTATGGGTAACGGAACTGAAGAACAGAGAGGGTGAATAACTAGCCCAAGGTCACACAGCACAGGCAGCCTGCTTCTGCTGATGGTGCTGGTAACTACTGCCATTCACCTTCTGCACCATGTTGAAGATAGTAAATTCGAATTTATTATGGTTTTCTTGTGTAAGTCAAATTGGTGGTTTTGCAGCAAATTAGAATCTTGTCGACATTAAATATGCAAGTGAAAAGAGTGGTACTGAACACATAAGGACTGCCTAACAGCTTCATCTATTCAGAAGCTGGGACAGTAATGTCATATTTAAACCTGGCTGACATTATTGTAAGTAGTTTTTTGGGAGTCTTTATTTCATTTGGTTTAGTTACTTATGGTTTTAAATTTCTCCTAGGCATATCACACCTGAAAAATTTTACGTGGAAGCCTGTGACGATGGAGCGGATGACGTGCTTATCATTGACCGGGTGTCCACAGAGGTTACCCTCTCAGGTATTTTGTAGCCAGATTTAGAAGTGTCTGAGGAAGATTTCATACCTAAGTTGCAATAATTTAATTAGAGGTATGCCAGTGTGCAGATCTCTGAATGTCTTATAAAATTTAATTCTTAAAACCTCATTTGGTTTCTATGCATTAGTTTTATGCTTTCTCCTTTTTATGAAAAGGAGAAAAGATCTTGAAAATTTTACTGTCGATAAGGACTTAAAAACATAATTATTTCTTTATTCCTTTATCTGTATTCTTAACAGGATTGGTTTTATTGATGTCTAAGTTCCTTCTCTAGTTGTAAGATTTAAGGTATTTTAAGTGAAAGTTGTTTTAGTATTAAGTTTGTGGAATTTTAATAGCTGCTTTTGTTTTTTAAAATATTAATGACTGTGAGGGTACTTTAATGAATGAAAAATAATATAAACATTATTGATTAAAACTTGTGTTTTAGGCAGATGATGTTTCTAAGCTTTATCTGTCTATCTTATCCATCTATCCAGTTGTCTTTTGGTTTGGCTTCTCTACGGTTTAAAAACAATTTTTCAGTTGTGTTTAGAACGCTGATTTCTGACTAGATTAATGTGAAATAATTTTGGTGACAAATTAATATACCATTATCACATTTAGAATTTCCTATTTCATTTGTTTAAAAATTCACCTTTAGATAGAGTTGCATATTTTTTCTTAAGTACTGTATTTGAGTGACCATGGAGTGGGCATTCAGTACACAGTAACTATCCTTTGAACAGGTAAGTGAAATATGAAAATATTGCACAGGATAGTAAAGTGCAGGAGAAGTGTGACTGTACATTTCCATTTCCTTGGTTATGGGGTTATTCTGGTAAGGACCATATATATAGTTTTCATTTGACCAAATTAGTTTGATAATTTGACATTTGCTTGATGGATGTCCTCTCAAGATAGCTGATTAGTATTAACCAATGTCAGTGTCCTTCTCCTAAAGTTTAATTACACCACTTCTTTGTACCATATTGATACAACCTAGTGTCTTATAAAAGCTACTTAGTATGGATGTATTTTCAATTATTTTTTACTTTTCGGTGACATTTGTGGGTAGAGATTGCAGACCCGTTTGAGTGGACAAAGCTAAAGGTTATGAATAGTTTGGTTGTAAAGTTAATACCACACACTCCTCATGAGACACGTGAAGAGATACTCTGACCTGATGCCAGTGATGATGCGGATGTGACTTGCTCACAGTTTCTCTGCCAGTTGGAAATGCAGACCATTGCCATAGAAAGATGAAAGAGAGACTTTTTTTCTCCATGAAGAACTAACCTACTCTCTTAGGAATTTTCATAGTTTCATTGCTCTTCCACTCCATTTAATATAACTTACAGCTCACTCTATTTAAGTTTATCAAACGATCTCAATGTACTCAAGATTTCCATGGAGCTTTTCATCACACTTATTCACGTAACTCATTGTGGCATGGCATTGCCAAGTAAATTGAATTACTAAGGGAATCTTAGACTTTATTCAGAATTCCTTTCTTCAGAATAATAGGACTGCTTTTAAGAAGAAGTTGGGCTTACAGCAAGGTTTCAAAGCGGTTTTCAAGGTGGTAGATAAAACTGTGACTGAAAGGAAAAATTTATAGCTGCATAAATTTGGGAAACCAAACTTGGAACAGCTTGTTTTCCCGTAAATGTCTCAGAGCTTTTATGCTCCTGCTGTGCATTCTGGCTCTTTCTTGGGAGGAATAGGGGCAGTATGGGCATAGCATATAAGCTTATTTGACAGGGCATTATTTCCTAAACTAGAGTTCTACAAAATATGTTTTGTCAGTACGTTGGCTGAAAGTTTAACAGTTATGAAATGAACGCTATAATCTAGGATTAATGGATTAATTTATCAATAAGGGCATTATTGGTCAAGCCACAGTTCGTGGCGATGCCTCCCTGCCTCTCTGTACATGTTACTGTTAGACACGAGGAGGAGGCTTGTCTGCCGTCTTTTTCCCTCGGATCTCCACCTGCACTTTCCACATACTCAGGCCTGGATAGACAGGTCTTTTTTGCATTCCATTAGTTGCCTGTTGAAATTAAAGTCATGTCTCAACCCTCCTTCCATTTTCTAATTCTCTTAAAGGGATAAAGACTTAGTTTCTGGCAGGAGGTTGAATACATTTAGTTGAAAATTGACATTAGAAATAACCCACAATTTACCTGGTAAGAACGCTGAAGTATGTTACTTTTGACACCATATCCTGGACAGGCAGAGACCTTTATTACATGGACATTGTTATTTTAAATTCTGCCAAAATGGAGGTCAAACATTAATGAAGGAGTTTGCTTTTTAAGAACAAATCATGCATGTTGATTTAGTTGAAATCAAACTAAATTTCTCGTTCTGTTGGTGAGTGTGTTCTTTGATTTTTTTTTTTTTTTTCTTAAAGTCAAGAAAGATATTCCTCCTTCAGCTGTCACAAGACCAATATTTGGTATACTGGGCACAATCCATCTGGTGGCAGGTAAGATGGGCAAACGGGACACGACTGGAGTATAAGATGAATGCGTGCTTCACACCATGCTTTAGGCAAGAATATGTAGATTAGGTATTTGTCATTAATTTCTAAAAGTAATATACCCCACGTGGTTAAATTTATAAGCCAGAGGTTCTATTAAAAAATAATTTTGTTTTATTTCATCTAGAGTTGAAATCTCTAGCCAACTGAGCATTTGTCATAAATTCTATGAGTATTTAAATAAAAAAATTTTTAAAAAGTCTTTATTGATTTCAGAGAGAGGAAGGGGGAGGTGAGAGAGAGAGAAACATTGATGAGAGAGAAACATCACTGATTGGCTGCTTCCTGCATGCCCCCTCCTGGGGATCGAGCCAGCAACCCTGGCATGTGCCCTGACCAGGAATCGAACCACAATCTCCTGGATCATAGGTCAGTGCTCAACTGCTGAGCCACATTGGCTGGGCTTAAATAAAAATTTAATGCAGTGATGGACCAAAGTATTCTACCGTCAACCCCATACTGAGTTGAATATGACATAGTGCATGTTAGAAAATATCACCTGGTTCTGAGTCATCAGGAATGATTTTGTTTATCTAAATTTCATTTCATTGAACTTTTAAAAATCCATGTAATATTAGGTACTGTGCTAGATGCTAAGTGTTAAAAGATGCAAGCTCCTCTTGTCCTCACTTTGCAGCCTAGTGAGAGGCATTTAAGTAGGAGAGGGATATACATAGGAAAACTGCCAGGGGAGGGCACTTGTGGGTAGAGCCTTGAGCTAACAAAACCTTTTGCTTTTATCTTTTTGTGAAAAAAATGTGAACTTTCAATAGGAATTTTTCTAAATACTATCCTGGTCTTTCTATTTAGAATTATAAGGTTGCTTTAATAAAGTATGGGTCTTCTATCTGTATAGCATGGTACAGTCTCATTCGCTAGCCTTTGAACAAGGGGTGCTACTTTTGGCATTAGAGTTGCCTTGTTTATATTCATCTGAGTTTGGCTTTGCTTTTTTTGCAGGAAATTATTTAATTGTCATTACCAAAAAAATAAAAATAGGTGAATTTTTCAGTCATGTAATCTGGAAAGCAACAGATTTTGATATTCTTTCTTATAAGAAGACCATGTTGCATTTAACTGATATTCAGGTAAGAATTGAAAGTACTTACTAATTGCAAATCCAGGGTAGTGCCATGGGGGTGGAGCGAGGGAGGTAGAATATAAAGAAAGTTTGCTGCATTTCTACGCCTAATTATTTAAGCAGCCCATAGACAAAGCCACTTTACATACCTTTACACCTAGCATAAAATGTACTTCAAAAATTCCTCATGTATTTTATTTCTCTTGGTTTGTTTTTTAACCGACTCAATTCTTTCACATGAGAGAGAAGGACAGACGGACTGCGTGTTTGCAACACCAGTTTCAACTCCATTCTCTTTCTGTAAAGAAGTGAAATGTTAGGTGCCTTTGAAGTTCCGTTCATCCTATTTCATTCCCTCCCTCCCCAGAGAAAAAGCTTTCACTTTCCCACATGTGAGTAAGAGAGTGTTTTTAAATTTTTATGTATTGATTTGAAAGAGAGCGAAACATCAATTTGTTGTGCCACTTATTTATGCATTCATTGGTTGATTCTTATATGTGCCCTGACTGGGGATTGAACCCACAGTCTTGGTATATTGGGCCAAGGCTCTAACCAACTGAGCTTGCTGGCCAGGACAACAGTTATTTTTTAAAACAAAGATAAAAACAAATGTCAGTCTTGGTATTCATTGGGAAACCAGCTAAAATGATTATTAGAAAATAGAGATAGATAATTACTTTTACAGGATTTTTCTTTTAATTTTCTTTTAAAAAGAATTCTATTTTATTTACCATCCACCCCAACCAGTAAAGTTTCTTGAAAATGGAGATGATATTATTCTCTTGTTCTTTAACTCTCTGTGTTACTGGGCCCCTCATGATTTTATGTTTTTCATTTGTCAAATGAGGATCATTGCTAACCTAGCAGGGTTGTTTTTGAAGGTAAAGGAAACACAGCAGGTCATACCCCAAGTAAGTGATGTTTCATTAAATAACTTTCCTGCCCATTAGAGTAAAAATTGTGAAGGATACCAAAGGGAAGGAGTTCTGCCTAATCAGTTAATATAGTCATGCCTTGCTTACACTAGTTAGTGAGCATCGTCTGTGAGGCAGGAGCTGTCCCCAGGTCCTGTGGAAATGGCGAGCATCTCCCTCTCCAGCCCAGTCCTATGCCAGGGGTATTTAATGGGGCCAGACTAACGGGTTTTTATTTTCATTCTTTTTTCATGCTGACCAATTCCTTTTCAAGTATGACATAAACTGATTTTTTTTTTTTATCTCCTTTGTTTACAGTTACAAGATAATAAAACCTTCCTAGCAATGATAAACCATGTCTTGAGTGTGGATGGGTTTTACTTTTCAGCCACATACGATTTGACCCATACTTTGCAGCGGCTGTCCAACACTAGTCCAGAATTTCAAGAAATGAGTCTCTTGGAAAGGGTAAGCTTAATCCCATCAGTTATATTTCCTTATTTGGGTTTTTTTTTCAGAGGCATATGTCTGTTTCATCCATAAAAATATATATTGGTTTTTCTCAGTCCTGGCTATGTCAAGATTATGTATGGGACTTTGAAAATGTACCATGTTTCAAATATACATCAGTCCCAAATCTAGGACCCCAATCTGTGTGTTACACAGGCAGGATGGAGAACCATGATGTAGGTGGTCAGAAATTCTGTCTAAACACACATGTTGGTAATTCCCTAGCTGTAGGTGTTCTACAGTCTAACAGTTGTTAGCATTAGTAATGTAATTATGCTTATAAAATAAATGTTGGATTTGGAAGGAGACTTCAGACTTGCCGACCGACTAAACACATGAGAAAGAAAGACCCCGAGAGGACCCCCAGGTTTCTGGGCTTGCAGCACTGGCTTGAGGCAAGGAAATGGGAAAACCCAGAGAAAGAGGGGTTGACTTTAGGGGAAGAGGAGTTCTTTTTGGAGTATGTCAAAGACACTTGTCTCTCCATGAGGTAGAAACGTTGATTGTCATAGTTTTCTTTCTGTGGGAACTCACCTTGGCAGGAGATACTTTATTAATTTTAAAACTTCCCCCTTAGGCAGATCAGCGGTTTGTATGGAATGGTCATCTTCTGAGAGAACTTTCTGCTCAACCGGAGGTAAATAAAACCTGCTTATTTGTTACAGTCCAAGTTTGAACTGAACTAATAGTATAAAATGCCTACCTAGTCACCAGAGATTTGGGTAAATAATTCTAAGTTACTCTGTTTATGACTTACAAGCTTTGATCAGGTCTGCCCTCTCACGTCATTCTCTCCTACAGGAGCCTTAAGTAAAGAAAAAATACTTAAGTAAAAATACATTGTGTTTTATAAGTAAGAGAGAGAGATTGGGTCTTGGTGGGTAAATAAAGGAGAAATGAGGAGCCACAGCTAAGTCCCCAGGCAAGTGAGGAGCTCTGCATTGCCTTCCTATGGGATGGGATTCCCTTCAATCACCCGGGAGGCGTGTAGAGAGGTCACCTTCCTTTGTCCTTATATAAATGAGGCCAAGCAAGGAGGCCCAACTAGGACGCATAATATGGGTAAATAGATTTGCCTAGTGACTTTATTTCTTGTCATGGGCATTGCTGCTTTGGGAAAAGTAGTTTGAGCTGCAAACAGCATGGGTGTATCTTTTCCCTAGAGGAGTGAAGTTGTTGGAGGCAAAGACTGAAAAGGAGGGAGGTAAACATTCTGCAACTGCAGGTAGTTCCCTTGGTGTTCCAAAATCTGAATATTCAAGTCCAAATGATGACAGCACAGTCTTAATTTATTTAATTGAAAAGACAATGTTACTTTAGAGAAATTTCTTCAAAATTGTTACCCCATAAGCTTACTCCCTCGTTACACTTTTGTATGTTACCTCCTCATGTGTTTCATATAGTGTAAATGTATTTTATATAGTGCTTTTCATTTGCTTTTAAAGTATATTCCTAAATGTAACGTGTATCTTCATTTCAGGTCCATCGGTTTGCTCTTCCAGTAATTCATGGCTGTATCCTTACATAATACTGCTATAGTTTTCTAGCAGTCTTTACTTTGAATGCTGTTGTAAGGCAGATTTAGAGGCAGTCTCAGATATTGCATGAGGAGAGTATTGTAGAGAGATAATTCTACAATGATCTAATTGTAAGTTTACTTTAAAAAACTAGTCTTCATCATAAGATTATAATAAAAATAAGAAAGGACAGTGAGCTGGCTGTTCAAGGACAAGCACAATGTGCATGTGAGTGTCTAGAACCAGGACAGTGCCCCGCAGAAACCAGGGTGACCTCAAGCACCCCCAAGGAGCTTAATATAGCAACCTGTGACTTATTTGTTGTGTTAGTGTTATTTCCTTAAATTATCATGCCTGTTACATGCAAAGAAAAGCAGAAGAGTAATGGAGGAAACATTTCCTACAGTCGTGGGGGAATAAAACTCAGGAAATCTCAGGATAGAAGCTCTTGTTTATTCTGTTGTTTTGGTTGGTTGGTTTTTCTCCCTTCCCTGGAGTTTCCCAAGTTCTAAGGCTAAAACAGGAACAGATGTATTGAGATAGTGTTTAGGGGTTTGAGCCAGTTGTGTTTTTTTCCCCAAATGAGATTATGAATGGACAGATAACATCAAGTGAGATTATGGAGCACTTTTTCCAGGCGATTTTAGAACAGTTTATTCGTTTGGCTTAATCCAAAGGTTTATTTTATTTTTAAAAAATATATCTTTATTGATTTCAGAGAGAGGAAGGGAGAGGGAGAGAGAGAGAAACATCAGTGATGAGAGAGTCGTTGATCACCTGCCTCCTGCAAGCCCCCCATCAGGGATTGAGCCCGCAACCCGGGCATGTGCCCTGACCAGGAATCAAACAGCATCTCCTGCCCGGCTGGGCGTGGCTCAGCGGTTAAGCGTCGACCTAGGATCCAGGCGATCAGGGTTCGATTCCCGGTCAGGGCACATGCCCGGGTTGCGGGCTGCGGCTGATCAATGACTCGCTCATCATTGATGTTTCTGTCTCTCTCTCGCCCTCTCCTTTCTTCTCCCTGAAATCAATAAAGATATATTTAAAAAAACAAACAAACAGCATCTCCTGAATCCTAGGTGGATGCTCAACCGCTGAGCCACGCCCAGCTGGGCTAATCTAAAGCTTTAAATTAGCTTTTGTTTAATGTAGTTTCTTGATTAGAGGAATAGACACGCAGAGAGATCAACAAGAACCAAGGCCCCAAGGCAGGAGCATGCCTGGAGCAGAGAGAGTGGACCGGGGGAGGTGAGAACTAGTCAGGGATGTAGCTGTGCCCAGATTATGCTGGGCTGAGTAGACAGTGTCTTTTACTTCAACTGTGATGAAAAACTGTTGGGATCTAAATAGAGGATTGGCTGGTAAGACAGGGGTACTGTGTGACCGTGATGTTAGAGAGTGGGCCAAGGAAGAGCAAGGGAGGGTACAAGGAATAAGTAGGAGGCAGTCTCTGATCCAGGCCAGGGGTAAGGTTGCCTGGGACTAAGATGATAGCAGTGATAGTGTGAAGAATGGTCAGGTTCTAGGTATATTTTGCAGGTTGAGCTAACAGGATTTTCTGACAAATTGTACATGAGATACAAAAGAGAAAAGTTTACTGCAAATCTAAATTTTTGACCAGACTAAGTGGGAGGAAGCTATCTACTGCAATGGGGAAGGGCCTAGAGGTGGGAGGGAGACTGCGTGTTACATTTTCCTTAATGCAGTTAAGTTATTACTATGCACTCGTGTTCTATTAATGGGAAGTACTTTGACTGGATTCTCATCTCCAGGAGGAGCTGTTTCAGAGCCGGCGTGCGCTATTATGTGAGAGGTAGGATTAATGTCAGCGTGGCATCATACTGGGTTATAGCTGTCGCTACTTAACGTTCCGTTTTACAGTGATACGACTGTAGCCATTTGTGTTTTATTTTCATTATCGTTTCATAGCCTTGATAAATATTTATCTCCTGCTTCATTATAATAGGTAGTAGGTCTTTTGTGCCTTACTCCTGCTGCCGTAGTGACATTGCAAATGTTGAGAGACGCTATACACTACTTCTTCTGCTCTAAGAGGAGCCAATTATGTTATGTTATTTGCTAGATGTGTGACAGCAAGCTGAACTCAGTGTTGTTTTCAATAACCTATACTCCTAGCAGGAAGTATTTTCTCCTATTGTTCTTGGTTTCTGTGCCTGCATAAAGCTAGACAATTGACTATGCCTTCAACTCTAAAGATTGACATTTTGAGCATTTGTTCTTTAGGCTTTATACCAGCAAATGCTTATTTGCTTAAACTAAGCTTTTAAAACGCATATTAAAAATTACTGTCATTCTGAAAAGGAGTGTCTCTAACTCTGTTTTTTTTGCCAGACTATCAGAATAAAATCCTGTGAGCCATTAGATAAATCATGGAAGTTTTAGGCCAGGAAGTTATTTGGTTAATCTCCCTTTTTGTAGGTGATAGAGCAAAGGAAGAAAGACATTTAGTGAGTGAGCTGGCCAAGGTCACAGAACCAGAGTTGGAGTTAGCAACTCCCTTGTAACTAGATTTTCTTGGATGGAGACATAATTTTTAATGAAATGTTTTGAATAGGTAATACATTCACATAGTTCAGGTACCAAAAAGTATAAAAAGAAATGCAATGAAAACTATTTCTCATTTCTGACCCCATCTGCTGCATTGTTAGTTTCTGTTTATCCAGGTAATTTTGTGCTATTGCAGGTATGTTCACCTCCTCCTGTTGTACACAGTGGTTGTGTACTGTGCACGTTTTCTTGTACCTTGGTTGTGTGTTTTTTGTTTTTTTAACTTAATATATTGTGGAAATGTGTTCATAAAGATCTCTCTCTCACCCCTTCTCTCTCTCCTGCCATCTCACTTTAAAAAATAACTATATATTATTCCTTAATGGGAATATGGGAATTGTGGAAAGAACCAAGTATTGTCCATGCTTCTGACAAGTAATTTTAGAGAGTATTGAGAAGGCATTTTGACTCAGTAATTTTACTGATTTGACTCAATAATTTTATTCCCTTCTGGTACTATATTAACAAAAAAACTGATACCTGACATCTCAAAATGTTATGTTTGAGAAATATGTCAGATAGAAATAACATTAAGAAATATTTGAGATGGTTAAAAATCCACTGGTTCCTTTCTGATAATTTGTCAATTTGAGACAGGGACTAGCTTGAAAGTTACCTTTGCTCAGTAAGCTTTTCTTAGTAAAAATAGATCACGTAAACAAGACTAAAGGAGTCCTTCCAACATTTGAAAGGACTAGCCAGTATCAAGACTAAACACTTTAGAGCAATGTTGTTCAAACTAGGCTTTGTGGGCATATTCCTGGAAATTCAAGGGTCATATACAGTTTTTGTGCTCTCATCTTGATAATTTAAATCATTATAAGCACCTGCTGGACCATTTTGATTATTGTAATGCAATAGTGTTAACATAATGGCCCATGTTTGTATTAAATATTGTGTTTAATGGTTTTAACTTTCCAAACAGTATTTTTTTAAAAAAAAAATAGGGTTTAAGGACAATTCTCAGGAGTCCTTGAGGATTTTCTTTTCCTTTAAAACGTATGTCAAGTTTGAGGAATTACAGGACTGTGTATGTATAAACAGTTGATAAATTAAATAACCGATTTTATTAATAGGTCCTTAATACTCCCCTTTAAGACTGTTTAAAATGAATGAACATCTCTTAGTTTTCTGATCATGTGTTATGCATTTGTTTAAAATTTATTTTTATAAGTGCTTTTCCACTAATTTGAACTGAATTAATTCTCTCCAGGTTAAACTGAATTAGTGAGTTTCTGATGTGTTTCTTATGTGATAAATACAATTAATTTGATCTTTTTTCAATGTAGGCATCGATTCTGAAGGCCACGCAGCTAACTTTGTAGAAACAGAACAGATTGTGCACTACAACGGCAGCAAGGCTTCATTTGTCCAGGCAAGTGAACATGCCTGCAAGGCTGCCAGCAGCTGGCCTTTTCTGCTTCGATCATAATTTTATGTCGTGTTACTGAAATTTCCCTCTCCTCCCCTCCTTTTAAAAATAATGTCTTTGTCTACAATGTGGAAAAGTCCATTCAAAGCAAAGGTATTCCATTAATCTGACACTCAACTTTCTGGCATTTCCCACCCTTGAATTAAATCCGTAAAGGAGTGGCAGGGGTAGGTGCAAGGCTTATGGAAATGGGCCACCTTTCAGCTCAATTCTTTAGACTTACTCAGGGCGATGAAGATGGCACAGCTGACTCTACCTGCCTTGACTTCACTGTGAGAGAGTCTCTTTCTCGGTGCCTCCTAAAGGACTTGGGGATCACTTGCTGCTCCAGAGCCTTAGTGGCTAAGCATAGAAGTTCATAAACATATTCATTTGAGGATGAATGCAGCAGTTTTCCAGTTTTATTATAATGCCAAATTATATAACAGACATAACTTGTTAATTTCTACTCATAGATAAATTTATTTTAGAATTTAGGGGAAACACTGAACTGTGTACTACACTAGCGCCGTGTGTGTAAAATCAGAAGAACAGGTCCTTTCCAAAAGTATTCCCACAAAATACAAACTTGAGGAGCAGGTACACATGGGCTTCTTTCATAGTTGGTAGGTTGTATTTATATATTTTCCTTTGTAGTCGTTGATGTGTATATACCCCTGACAGTAAGTAAGCTGAGGAAAACAAGTTTTCGTGTATGTGGTTTTCTCACATTTTTCTTTTAGACTCGAGGATCAATACCAGTTTTCTGGTCTCAGAGACCAAACCTCAAGTACAAACCACGGCCACAGATCAACAAAGTAGCAAATCATGTATGTATCTTCCATGCTTTCCTTATTGGCTAAAAATAGAAGCTTATTGGCATAACTTACATATAGAGCATGTATTTATTTCTCGTAAGTCAGAATTCATCATCTTTGAGGCCTTTCTCCTTGGTTCTGGCACATAGTGAACCTCTAAACCAATGGTCATGTGTTAGAAATGTGGAAAAACAAGCCGTGGTTGAGTAGTGTCACAGATTTAGATTTGAGAGATTTCAGTAAGATCTGCAACTGTATGGCATTAGAGCGTTTAGTGTATTCTATCTGAGATGGTACCAGAATTAAAGTAGTGTGGCAGCTCCGAATAGAATGGCTTGTAGTTACTGTTTACTATTTGGTCTTTAGAATATCTAGAAGACATGGTTTCTCTAGAGAAGATATTTAAAGAGATACTTTAAACATATAAATATTCTTACAGTGCACTCTGGTAAAGTGTATAACTCTTTTTTTCTTCTTTAGATGGATGGCTTCCAAAGGCATTTTGATTCACAATTAATTATTTATGGAAAACAAGTCATAATTAATCTGGTATGTTTCTTTCTTGTTTCTGGGGAATCAAAACAAACCAAAAAATTTGACTTTATTTTACTTAACATAAAATGTATCATTTTAACCATTTTTAATTGTGCAGTTTAGTGGCATTAACAATGTTGTGCAGCCATCACTACTGACCAGCCCCAACTTTTCATCACACCAAACAGAAACTCAGTGTCCATTAAACTGAATTTCCTATTTCCCTCTCCCCTCAGCCCCAAGTAACTATTTCTACTTTCCGTGTCTATAAGTTTGCCTTTTCATATATTTGTTCCTTTGTATCTTGTTTATTTCACTTAGCATAATGTTAAGTCCATGTCGTGGCATGTATCAAAATTTCGTTCCTTTTTAAGACTGAGTAGTACTCAGTGTGTACCGCAGCTTGTTTATCCAATTATTCATCAATGGACATTGGATTGTTTCCACATTTTAGCTGTTGCAAATCATGCTGCTATGAACAGGGGTGTGCAAGTGTCTACTTGAGTCCCTCTTTCAGTTTAGGTATATGCCTAGGAGTGGCTTTTTCTTGGACTGGACATCTTGGTTGCTGTAAACCTTTATTTTCCAGAGCTCCTGTAAAATTGGTCCAGACAGCTTCCGGCTTTTCAGTGTTTTGTAGGGAATAAGAGCTTGGAGTGTCCTAGTCCTCCATTTGCTGATATCACTCTCTCCTTTTTTTTTTTTTTTTTTAAATTTGTGTTTTTATTGACTAGAGAGAGAATGGAAAGAGAAAAACATTGATTTGTTGTTCCACTTATTTATGCATCATTGATTAATTCTTATATGTGTCCTGACCAGGGATCAAACCCACAACCTTGGCATACTGGGACAGTGCTGTAACCAACTGAGTGACCTGGCCAGGCCATCACTCTCTCCTTAAATAAACATAAAGCTATGGTGTTTTTAATTTTTTACAGGTTAACCAGAAGGGCTCAGAGAAGCCACTTGAACAGGCATTTGCAACAATGGTGTCTTCCTTGGGAAATGGAATGATCAGGTACCATACTAGAAATCTGTCACAAGTCTTTTCAGGCTAGGTGTGTACTTACACATATACACAAGTACACAGATCTCACATGTTATATATTTCATAGACATCTATTTCAGCTTGTGTTTTTTTAATACTAGCTCAAAGCATGATTTGTTGGCTTGAAATTTTCTTTGCCATAATTTCTATTGCAGAATAACTTCTTAACAGTTGAGTTTTACTTTGAATTGAGGCTTTGCAGTTCCTCATGATTGCCTCGTGTGATCTCTGGGCCCTAGCCCCCCCCCCCCC